TATATGCTATTAAATAAGATATATATTGCTCTATTAATTTCATTAATTATAAGAAAATTAAGTTCAGAAGGGTTAATATGTTTAGGTAAAATTAAGTTTGAAACAACTAAAGTTCAAATGAAATCTCATAGGAGTGATTAAAAAGGGATACATTAGTAATTAGTATAATCTACAATAAAAATAAGTTCTATGGCAATTATGTTTAAATAGGTGAATAAGATGCATGTATCTAAGGTTAGTGTATAATAAGACATGAGTAAAATTACTTTGAAACATGATTAAAAAAAATCAACATGAGATAAACACAAAGATAATTTTTTATTGATAAATTTGTGCTATTTACAAAAAAAAAAAAAAAAAAAAAAAAAAAAAAAAAAGGCCTCTTGAAAATCAGTTCATAATGCATTAGCTAGACAATCAAATTGCTAAAAACACTCTGCAAGACTAGTTCAAAGTTACCTCAAAAAGAAATGTTCCTTACAAAATTATACTTAGGTGTTGTTTGGTTCACTTGGGAATTAGAACTTCCCATGAATTGTAAATTTATGGGAATTAAATTCCTACAATCAAATTCATGGGAATTTTATAAAATTGTTTGGTTAACAATGAGGGAAGTAACTTCCATGAGAATTTCCACTTACCTAGGGGGGTTAGGTAAGTAAGTTCCTACATTTTGTGGAAATGCAAAATTCCTAGGAAGTCTCACTTCCCCCGTTTCACCAAATTATTGTCAACCAAACAACACACTAAAATTACAATTCCTAGGAAGTCTCACTTCCCATGTTTTTTTATGTCAAACAAACAACCCCTTAGTACTTCCTCCTCCGTCATTGTAAATGGAACACGGATATTAAGAAGAGGAGAGAGATACAGAGCTATAAAGATAGAAACTTATATAAGGAAGAAAGAGAAAGAGAGAAAACGTGTACAATTTAAAAAATCTAATATATATATATAAAGGGGAGTTTTTTCCCGAGTTTTTAGAGAGCCACGTAAGATTTAATTTTTTCAGCGCGCCACGTAGGATAAGAAATTTTAGTGGTAGCCAATCAAATATGAGATTATTAATTTCTTTTAGAATTAAATAATTTAACTGACACGTAAGCAAAATTGGTGAATGAGATAATCCAGTTTAAATTAATTAAATATAAAATATTATCTTTTAATATCAGGAATTTTATCTAAACATTTAACAATTTTTATCACATAAATATATATGTAAAAATATTATTTTAAAAAATTCAAACAAACCGTGCATCGCACGGGCTTCATCTAGTATTGCAATATTTATAAGGCAAAAGCTAATGAGCGCCCCCGGGGCGTTAGATAAGAGAATTAAAGTGTAAATATTAAAGTAAAATTAACATTAATTACACCGAACGACGCGTGATTTTGTCATGAATTCCTAACTTAATACCATTTCAACCAATATAATTTATCCTTATCTAATGCCCTAAAGCGCTCGTTAGCAAGATGTTGTAATATTTGTAAAATGGAGAAAGTACAAAGTAGAACAATACTCGAAGCACACAAAATGTTTTTCATACTTTCATTTCATCCTTGTATCTCTAAAAACTCGGTCCCCTCAACTCCTTTTAGTACAAAGACAAATTTGTATTATTATGTTTAAAAAACCGTCCAAAACGTAATTTCGTAGTACAGTACTATTTTAGCAAAAGTGGCTATGTGTGACATTTTGCTAATGTTTAATATTTAAGAAAAATGTAGCAAGCTAAGTATGGAGAAACGTTGAAAGTAAATTATATAATAAGTATAATAGTCAAAATAAATTGGAGATGCTACTCCAGCGATTTTCTTCACACGTGTTTTTTTTTTTTTTTTTTTTTTTTTGGTTTTGGTGTTAAGAGAGCCACCGGGGTGGGAATGAAGCTCTAACCACTTAAATTATCTTTCATTTTCATTTTCATTTTCTTTACTAACATAATTTTACCAATAAATTTGATCTTCAATATATAAATTTGATTATACTTCTATGTTCACCTTAATATTGCAGCAAGGAAAAATAAACGATATTTAAGATGAAAAGAGAAATAAAGATAGAGGCTCATGTGATGAGAAGATAAAGTGAAAGCATGCATAAATATGAGGAAAATTTTTAAAATAACACCATGTAAAGTAGTGAATTCTAACATTACCTCCTCAAGTTTTTTTTTTATTTAATCGTACCACCTAGTTTTTCCCAAAACGTTTTAAAGTACCACTACTTTTCTGAGTGACGTCATCATGGGTCCCACTTTTTCATTTTCCTTCTCTTCCCCATCGATTTCCCTATCTTCTCCCCTCTTTCTACCTATTCATCTTGCAAATTTGATTTCAATTATAACATTTTCGCAAATTAGGGTATTAATTTCTGCATTAAACCTTCAACGAATTGAATTGATTAGTGTAATTAGGGTTTGGGTAATCAATTTGGGGTTTTTCTCAATTCAAAAAATTATGGTTTATGAATTGATTAATTGGATGAATAGCTGGACAATAATTAAAACATGTAATTGGGGCAAAAACACAATTAAAACGTGTAATTGGGGAAAAAATACTAACACAATCCAACGATGACGTCACTCAGAAATATGGTGGTATGTTTTAGTGTTTTGGAAAAAACTAGGTGGTACAAAAAAAAAAAAAAAAAAAAAAAAAAAAAAAAAAAAAAACTTGAGGTGGTAATGTCAAAATTCACTACTTTACATGGTGGTATTTTTCAAATTTTCCTAAATATGGTGATGTTGTATAATTAGTTAGAGTAGAGTTTGTGAATATATATTACTTCCTCCATTTCATAGTAATTGACACATTTTTTTTTAATAATGCTTAATTATATATTATGTTGGTCAAAAAAAATATATTATGTTGGTCAAAATAGAGTGTTGACAAGTGTACTAAATTTGATTGTATTAATTATTGAGATATCAAAAGTTTATAAATGTCTTTTTTTCAATATAAAATAAAAAATAGTTTATCGTGTCAACAAATTTATTTATTTATTTATTGTTTTTTATAGAGCGAGATATTAGAAGTTTGTGCTTCCTCTGTTTACAATTGGTTGTCACAGTGAGTATATATACCTGTTTTCAATACAATATTGTAATCTAAATACCTCAAACTATATATTAAAAAAAAATCTAACTTATAAGTTGTATATTTGGAAACTTAGGGCGTATTCGACAAAAGCTTTTGTGTACCTTTTAATGGTTTGACAAGTAAAATCACCGATTAATAAAATTTTGAGTGTTTGGCCATCTAGTGGTGAAGAGATATAAGACCATCTCTAATGGTGAGACTCAAGTGAGTATATTTAGGAGAGAGAGAGTATATTTTTGCAATGTATACCAATAAGTTGGTATTTGAACTTAGCAACTCCAAAAGAAAGTTACTATTTGACAAAAATTGTGGGCCCCTTATTAATATTCTAATATATTTTGTAATTTATTTAAGTTTTACCTTTTTTTAAATCTTACAATATTTGATAATAAAAAAATGGATTTGGTGAGCCATAAATTGAAAGTGACATTTGTATATTTTATAGAGTCTCACCATTGGGAAATTAGATAGAGGTGATCATTGGGCGGGCCGGGCCGAAGCTAAAAAATTATGCCCTCTTCTCGTGCTGGGCCGGGTCGGGCCAAGCTTCTGGCAAAAAAAAATTTTGCCCAAACCCGCCCAAAATGGTCGAGCCGTGCGGGCTTTTCGAACCAATTTCGGGTCGGGCCTAAAAAATCAACTAAATGTGCGTAAAAGTGTATTCCCAAACCCACCCAAAAAAAATTAATTTTTCGGGCCGGAAAAATCTGCCCAAAACCTACCCGAAATCGGGCCGGGTCAACAGGTCGGGCTAACCTTGATCACCTCTAAAATTAGGCTTCACATGAGTTGTTAAATTGAGAAGTCAGTATGGTATCACCATTAGAGGTTAAAAACAACTCATTTTGTATTTCAATACTTAAATTTGAGTTTCACCATTGGAGATGTTCTAATAGTGTTTAATGATGGAGGTAACTTATGTCAAAAGCTAAAATTATCAACTTTTGAAAGTTAGAGGTGGATGTTGGATTTTTTCCTTGTATACTTGGTAACAACTAGCCAACTGATACTTTACCAAACCCTTATTGTTTCGGGGATTTTTTGGATTCCCTCGGCACACTGGTCACGTACTGCTGACAATGAGACTTGACATCTGCAAAACAACGAATATTTCGCAACCGGAATATTCGCCTCCGACGGTTAAGTTAGTAACCGGAAACGGAAAAAGCTAGAGAGAGAAAGTAGAGAGAAGTTGGAGCTATTTAATGCTCTTTTTAATGTAATGTCATAATCCACCCTTCCCATCATAAATGATTGGGGTATTTATAGAGGTGGGAGTTTGTGCCCCTTTAGGGTTTGTACCCTAAATTTGCGTGACCTGATTGGCTGCGCAATCGAGTGGTGCCACATGTAGGATGGGGGCGCCGCTTTGCGGTTTTCAACAAAACATCTTGGGATTTGGGCTCTGATGTAATAAAGGCCATTTTCTCTTACCTTAGGTGCTCTTTTTGAGTATTAGACACGTGTCATCTTTCCATAGGGACACTTGTCGCCCTTTGGTTTGGCCACGTGTCACTATACAAGACCTCGTGTAAGGGGTATTTTTACCCTAAATACTTATAATTAATTATTTATCTTCACAACTAACATTTACTCCCATGCTAACAACTTCTAATACAACTAACAACTACCTCTAAATTTACAATTTGCCCAACATGGCTTTAAACTCAATAAAAATAAAATAAGATCCTAGGTAACTATTTTTTTAAAATATGACATAATAACAGTTCAAAAATATTATATTTTAATTTTATTATAATCTTTTAGGATTAAATACTACCAAAAAAAATTAAAATAAAAAAAAAATCTCCCTCGAAAGAAAGGGTTTTCTCTCTAGAAAGTAGGGTTTGGCTGTCGTTCTTGACGGCTCTGTTGTGCGTTGACCTTGTTTGATTTCAGCCATGGCTGACGATATTCTAGAACGTTACGCGAACCTGAGACTTGATGATGAGGATGGTGGAGTGGTGGACCTTGGGACAGTGAATTCGATGCCTTCGAAGGACAAATTCCATCTGCTCTTAATTGGTAGGTTGGTGACTGAGAGGCCATATAATGTCGAAGCTTTTAAATCCACAATGACGAAAGCTTAGGGATTACAAAATAAATTAATTATTAGGGTGTTAGGACCTAATCTTTATGCATTACAATTCTTCCATTGGAGGGATAAGGAGAGGGTGCTAAATGGTCGACCGTGGTGTTTCGAGAATAAATTAATTATTATGAAGGAGGTAGAGGGGGACGAACAACCTGATAAAGTTCCCCTTTATCATTCTCCTTTTTGGGTTAGAATCAAGAATTTGCCGTTCAATTGCCGCTCGGATGATGATGTGAAGGAAATTGTCGCAAATTGGGGTGAGGTTATTGAGGTGGATGAAGATATTTTAGGCCTTGATCGGTTTCGGCGGGTTAAGGTTTTGCTTAATGTAACCAAACCACTGCGACGTTTTCAGCGTATTATAGACAAAGGGGGACGGGTGGTCTGTGTGGAGTTTGCTTATGAGAGGTTGCCTTTTTTCTGCTTTGCGTGTAGAGTGATTGGTCATGCCGAGAAGGAATGTGAGATGGTTTCGGAGGAGAGCAAGAAGGTGAAGCTTTGGTGAGGGAGATGGTTGAGGGCATCCCCTATGAAGGGGAAGCTTAAGGATGCCGAGGAGCTTAACTTGGTGATAGGGGCCCGCAAACAATTATTTATCACCAAAGAAACTGAGAAAATGAAGGAGGTAATTGAGAAGGGGGAGGAGTTGGTGGTGTCGAGAGAGAGTGAGGGGGTTTTGAAGTTGGGTTGTTCTGATGTGGAGTCGGGTGAATTGGAGGTTAGTGTGCAGGGAGGGGGAGTGGTGCAGGACAGGGGGGAGGCTGATGTCTCGGGGGAGGGGACAAAGTGTAATGTGGAGGGGAGTATTGTGGGGGTGTCGAAGGAGAAAAATGGGTTGGGGGAAAAAAATGGAAAAAGATAGCTAGGCAGGGGGATTCTTTTGATACTCCTATGTGTACCCTTAAGTATGATGGTTTGGGAAAAAGAGTGATAGAGGTGGATAAGGTGAGTCAGGGGAATGTAGGACAGGAGGATTCGATTGACAATGATGAGTTGACTAATGATTCACCTGGATGGCGAAGGGCGGAGGTTGCTCTTAAGCAACCCCGCCGAGCTCAATGAGTATTGTGAGCATCAACTGTAGAGGGTTGGGCAATACCTATGCAGTTGATAATATCTGGAACTTAGTACAGAGAGAGGCCTCGTCTCTTGTTTTTCTTATGGAGACGAAGTTAAGTAGTGGTGAGATGGTTAAAATTCGTGCAAAATTCCCAGGATATGAGGGAGTTGCTGTGGATAGCTGTGGGAGATCTGGAGGTGTTTCTTTGTGGTGGTTGAAGGGGACCAAAGTTGTGTTGCAGTCAATGTCCGTTCACCATATTGATGTGTTTCTCAAGGTTGGGACAAGCAATGATAAGTGGAGGTTAACGAGGTTCTATGGCTGGCCGGAAGTGCATAATAGACATTTGTCTTGGAAACTCTTGAGAGATCTTGCGGTTCAAAGGGATGAGGCTTGGGTGTGCATTGGGGATTTTAATGAAATTCTCTATAACTCGGAGAAGAAAGGGCGTAGAGACAGAGCTCTATGGCAAATGGAAAATTTAAGAGAAGCTATCGATATATGTCATTTATGTGATGTCCACGCGGAGGGTTATGAGTTCACTTACGATAATGGTCAAATTGGAGATGACAATGTGCAATGTCGCCTAGATAGAGCCCTAGTTACTCAAAATTGGAAAAATTTATTCCAGAGGCATAAGCTTTTTAACTTGGAAAGGGAGTGGTCGGATCACTCACCTTTGAGGCTTGTGCTCGATGAGGGGGGTAGTGTGCCGATAAAAAAGGGGAAGCTATTCAGGTTTGAGCAAGTTTGGACAGAACACGATAAGTGTGAAGGGGTTATTAAAGATGCTTAGCTGTTAGGAGATGCAGATGTGGAGAGAATGCTAGCTGCTTATGCTGAATTGCTGAAGTCGTGGAGTGAGAGGGAGTTTGGCAAGGTTTTCCGAGAAATTCAAAAAAAAGAAATAAGTTGGGTAAATTGAATAGGGGTGGCAGGTCTGAGTCCCAAGTTAAAGAGCGGCATAAGATTGTCAAAGAAATCTCGGAGCTACTTCACGTCGAGGAAGTATATTGGAGGCAGAGGTCTCGTGCTCTTTGGCTTGCTGCTGGGGACCGCAACTCGAGTTTCTTTCATCGTAAGGCTTCTCAGCGTCAGCAAAAAAATTCGATTAATTATCTCGTGGCTGATGATGGAGTGCGTCATCAGGACATGGAGGGGGTGTGTGGGGTGGCAGTGAATTATTTTCACACCCTTTTCTCGGCTTCCCCGACTGTAGACTATGGGGATGCGTTGAGTGGTATTGACCGAAGAGTGACGGAGGAGATGAATGAGCTTCTTTGCGCTGATTACAAAGCCGAGGAGGTGCTAATGGCTCTCAAACAGATGCATCCTCTTAAAGCTCCTGGCCCGGATGGTATGTGTCCCTTGTTTTTCCAAACATACTGGCATATTGTTGGTCCTGCTGTTACTTCTCTTGTGTTGGGTGTGCTTAGGGGGGATATGATTCCTAGGGAGATTAATAAAACTTTTATTGTGCTAATTCCGAAAAAAGAAGCTCCGGATAAAATGTTTGAGTTTCGCCCCATCAGTTTATGCAATGTGGTATATAAGCTTATTACTAAAGTTTTGGCAAATCGTCTGAAATTATTTCTCTCTGACATTACCTCTCTGAATCAAAGCGCCTTCACTCCGGGGAGATTAATTACAGATAATATTCTGGTGGCTTTTGAAGTGTTTCATCATATGAAGAATTCGACCAGTATTGGGGGTTCTTTAGCATTAAAGCTAGATATGGACAACGCCTATGATAGGGTTGAGTGGGGATTTTTGAGAGTTGTTATGTTGAAGTTGGGATTTGCAGAATGCTGGGTTAACCGTGTGCTACATTGTATTTCTTCGGTCTCTTTTTCTGTTTTGATAAATGGGGCACCTTCAGGGGAGTTTACTCCGTCTAGGGGTTTGCGTCAAGGTGATCCTCTATCCCCTTATTTATTTATTTTGTGTGCTGAGGCCCTATCTGGTTTGTTGAACAATGTTGTTGAGAAGGGTAGTCTACATGGTATTAGTGTTGCTCCGACCGCTCCGAAAATTTCACATTTACCTTTTGCGGATGATAGTATTATATTTTCACAAGCGAATGTGGAAGGGGTTAATAAGATCCAGGAGATTCTTCAATGTTATGAGAAGGCATTGGGGCAAATGGTGAATTTGAGCAAAACGACGGTGTCTTTTAGTAAGGGTGTCTTGGAGGCTAAAAGGAGTGAGTTAGCTGATTTATTGGGAGTGCAGAAAGTGCACATTCATGATAAATACTTGGGGCTTCTTACGGTTGTAGGGAGGTCTAAGAGGGTTATTACGAAGGGTGTGAGAGAGAACACTACTAGAAATAGGCTAAATTCCGACAGAAAAATTCCGTCGGAAACACCCTGAAATCCGTCGAAAATAGGGTTTCCGACGGAATTCCGTCGGAAGAGGTTGTCGGAAAATATGTTGTAGGAAAAATGAATTTTTTCGACGAAAATTCCGTCGGAAACACTATTCCGATGGAATTATCCGCCGGAAAAATATTTTCAGGTACTGCAACAATCCGTCGTAAAATTCTGACGGATTCAATTCCGTCGAAAATTTCCGACGGAATTTCCGTCGAAAATTTCCGACGGAATTTCCGTCGGAAATTGCTTTTATGAAATTTAAAAAAAATACGCCGCGCCACCACGGGCACGGCATATCACCACCTCCAACCACCAAAAACCCAACATCAGCAGTCCAAAACCACCCCACCACCCACAACCACCAGATCTACCACCAGATCAACCACCCACCGACAACCTCCAACCACCCAAAACACCCCTGTCAACCCCAACCACACCCACTTCCTAACCCTAACCTATCCACAGCACCACCCCCACCCATACCCAGATCCACAGCACCACCACCACAACCACCCTAACCTATCCACAGCACCACCACCACTTTACCCTCACCCTGACCGAACTCTAACCAAAACACCCATACCCCACCCTCACCCATACCCAGATCCACCCACCTAAACACCCAAACCCTAACCCGGACCCGACCGAACCCGGCCCCACCTAAGCCCATATTTCACAGCCACCACAAACCACTGCAAATGCTAAACGCATGCATATCAGCCACACCCACCACCACCACCGAAATCCATATTTAAAAAAAATAATCGGAAACAAAAATCAAAAAATTAAAACATAAAACATACCTGAAATTGAAATATGCCTCGAATTTCAACACGGAAACGGTTTAACAAGGCCAAATTCGGCCATGAAAAGTGTAGATCTAAACTTTTCATGGTCGAATTTGGCCTAAAAAACCTTTCAAGTAGTTGGTTGATGCCGTTTGTGTGTTGGTCGTTGATGATGGTGGTGTTTGATGACGGTGGTTGTGTTGTTGTTGATGCCGTGGTGGTTGATGACGGTGGTTGTGTTGTTGTTGTTGCCATGGTGTGGTGGTCGAAAGAGGGGAAAGTACGGAGAACGAGAGGAGGGAGAACGAGAGGAGAGAGAACAGAGAGAAGAGGAAAGACAGAGAGGAGGAGAGGAGATCGAGAGAAGAAGATAAGAGGGAGAAGCAGAGAGGAGAACGAGAGGAGAGAGAAGCAGAGGAACGGAGAAGAGAGAGAGTGGAGAGGAGAAGAGAAAAGAGGTGCTTCTCAAGTTTGTTTAGGGTTTTGTAGCGGAAATGGTTTTTTTCAAAAAAAAAAAAATTATGTTCCGACGGAATATTCCGTCGGAAACTTACGACAGACTATAAATCTGTCGGAAAAGGTAATTTTCGATGGAAAATACAAAAATTCCGACGGATATTTATTCCGTCGGAAATTTCCGACGGATTTTCGACGGAATCGATGAATTTGTCGGAAATTTCCGACAAAAAAAAATCCGTCGTAAATTTCCCTTTTTCCGACAGAATATTGGGTCCATCGGAAGCAGTCCATCGGAATTAAGCTATTTTCTAGTAGTGGAAATTGTGGAAGAGGCTTCAAGGGTGGAAGAGTGGAATGTTATCTAAGGCGGGTCGAGAGGTCCTGATTAAGGCGGTTGCCCAATCTATCCCAACCTACGCGATGAGTGTGTTCAAATTTCCTTTTTCCTTTTGTGATGAATTGCGGTCCTTGGTTGCTAATTTTTGGTGGGGACAAAAGAAAGGTGAACGTAAAATCCACTAGGTTGCTTGGCGGAAGCTATGTGAGCCTAAGGCAGCGGGAGGTTTGGGGTTTAGGGATTTTAAGAGTTTCAATGCTGCATTGTTAGGGAAGCAAGCATGGAGGTTATTGCAATATCCGAATAGCCTAATAGCTCGGGTTTTGAAGGCTCGATATGTTGAGGGAGGAGATTATTTGAGTTATGAGATTGGGATTAATCCAAGTTATACTTGGAGGAGAATTTGGGGAGTAAAATGGGTTATCAATCGGGGAATGAGGTGGCATGTAGGTGATGGTATTAATATCCCAATTTGGGATAGCCCAT